ATGTTTATGCTTTTTTGTCACTTACAGCTACTTTGTGCGGGAGAATTATCCATTGCATCACAATCTAATTAACCTAATTATGAAGTCGATAATGATGAAAATATTAATAGAAAATAAACTACTTTATAAACGAAAACAAAAAAATAATTATTGCCAAAATTAACTCAAAATTATAGGCAAACATTAACGTTTGCAAAGTTCTGAAGTGTCTTTATTTTAAAAAATTTTGTTGTGCCCACTTTCAAAATGTTGCACGTTTCTGAAATTTTTTGAATACATGACACATATAAACGAAATGACAACGTGACCTCGTCATTAAGCTTACCTGATCGCTAGTAAGACTCCAAACGCCCTCATCCTAAAATAATAAAATAAAATGATTAGCAAACAGAGAACCTCATTTTTCTTGAAATTGTTATTGTAAATTATCATCTTCACGCTTAAAACCCAAATATCAAAATCGAACAAATTGTATTATACCCTTCTGTACTGCTCTTCCAAAGGCAACAGCTTAAGCTGATCGTCATCAATGATTGAACCTCTCATTTTAACTTCACGGTACAATTTTGTGGTGTCATATGCCCTACAGAAAATGACTCGATGTAGTGAAATTGTTTTAAAATATGGAACACACTTTCTTACCTGTGTACCGAAATCACGGAGGAGAATAATAGCTTGCTGCAGTAGTTGAGGCAGGTGAACATGAATTCGAACCGTGTAGAATTGCATTTTGCCAGAACGCAAAGCGCTTCTGTCTGTCCCCGTAATTTCTTGAAAGCAATTATCTCAGAAAATCATTATGGACATGCATTTCTTTGTGAACTTGCCGAATGAGCTATCTTAGTGGTGATCGCAGTGATGCAGTTGTATCCAATTGCTGAAAAAGACTGTTTGTACTCTGTAAAATTCTTCAAGGAGAAAGCGCAAAAGTACATTTGAATTAAGATTTTTTTTAATAAGTTAATAGCCTCTAAGACATCAAGAAATTTTGCAATTTGAAAGAAAAAAAGTTTCGCGCATTTCGCATTCGCTTTCAGATTGATGCGAATAAGAGCGTGCAGGCGTTGTATTCATGGTGATCATAAGTATGCAACTGGGCTTTAACTCATGGAATGAATTAAGCAAACTCCGAGTGAGTTAAACAGTAATGGCTGTTATTTAAATGATAATGGCATCGACATGTATATGAAATATTTGATATTTCCTAAAACGACGGTTATGGCTTGCCCCTTCCACGTAATCCATGGGATATGCAGCGATAAAGCGAATTCAGTTCAGCTCAGTGAGTAAAAGATAAACACGACCATCATCCATTCATTATTATCTATGAATATTTGCTAGATTCAAAAATGCATACCATGACCTGATTAAAAGTCTGCCAAGCTAGCTCATCGAGCAGACTCGTCGTTCTGGTCTGCTTACCTCAAGATTTGGCATTTACCGCATCTGTCGTTGACATGAATAATTGATAATCAGTTGAAACATTTATGCTTCGCTTCAGAATCTGAGTTCTTTGTACCACAATTTATTTTATAAAACTTAGAATGACGGATTATGACACCACGGCGTACTAACATCGTCATGTACTAAATGGATGCAACATAAGAGATGAAATTTATATAATCAAAGAAAAATATTAAGACCTGATCGTACAAAAAATTTATCCACGATGGAACACGAATGAAGCATTTTAAATGATGCATATTTTGAGAAAGAATTCTTAAATTGATATGTACATTGCAGCAGCCAATTATGGTTTGTTGGAAGGACGCAAGAGCCCAAGCAAATGCCAAATATATGGCAAACGTCAAACACCGGAAACGAGCACCATCCGAACAATGAGCTAGCGATGCATCTTAAACATAGACTGATTGAGCAATGCCTGTGAATGACATCAGAAATATGGATGCGTTTGAATGCCGCTGAGGAAATTCCCATTCTTCAAACGGATAAAGGACCGAGGAAAACATAAATGAATCAGTTCGCCTTCCTGTAGGACAGCTAATTATGTACTTCTAGTAATTGGATAAAACACTTTGGTCAAATTCTCATTTTCATTCGCTTACAACTCCGATCCGGTTGCAATATGACTCTGAAGCACTTTGACTGCCACGAGACAGATTGAAAAACTAATGAACGACAGGTCAAATTCCGCAATAATGAAAGTTTCAGTATAACGAACAATTTTCTTGTCTTAAACACTCACTTAATACAATATATTAAATATCTCTCGCTATAACGAAATCAAAAATTCAGTGTGACAAATATTTATCAGTGATAAAATTAATTTCATACGTGCACAAAAATTAACACTGTTTATGTTTATATTTGCTATAGATAGGTACGAGGCACCTTTTTTGGCTAAATTTAGCTATTTTCGGTCTCAACGGGATTGTCGAATGATGTTTCAGTATCTATCAAGGTTCAGCACAATAATCGATTGTGCAATGAACAAACAAGAAATTAAACACATATTAGAAGAAAGAAAATAGTTAAGGTATTGTCTTGATTTTATTTATTATATTCAAAATTATTCTCTCTGCGTGATAAATCAATCCTGAGATAGCGCGTTGCTCGAGAGAACTGGATACCGACTTAAAAAAATAACATTCTCACCGAGTTGGAATTGACAACCTAGCTGTCGAAACACATGTCGTAATGCTTGATCCTTGGTTGAGTCTCTTTCGTCCTGCTGGTCGTATTTCGCAAGTAATTTTGTACATTGTATAGCGTGTGGTTGGAATTGTTACAGATCAAAAGGTGATTTATTAATTGGCTATTGCAAAGACAATTAAAACAAAAAAGATGAAAAACGAAGAAAATTCACATTAAAGAATTAGCGATTTTTGAAATAACTGATAAAGAGAAGAAGAAAAGCAATATTGCAAAAGAATTTGGAATTGCTTTTTTGACATCGTCTGCAATTTTGAAAGATCTTCAGATGATTGGAGTCAAGATTAAAGAAAGTATTTGGACCTCCAAGAAAATATTTGAAGCATTCTATCTGATGACGTCGATAATGCGGTTTGTGAACAGTAGGCTTTAATACGAAATGAGTAAAATCAGTAATGCTGGTCCAATTGCGGACTTTAGCTTATCCCTACACGGTATTGGTGGCGGAATCTGGCGGGCGGTCTGACTCTTCATTTAATGTCCGAAGATAATGAGTGACTGCTCCAGAGGTACTAAACTAATTGGTTTGAAATTCCCCCTTTTTATTAGCTGAGCAGACTGCAAAGTACCTCATAAAAATTCAGAAGAAAGTTGCAAATATGGGAAATACCGTATGACTAGCGTTGATTATGCATTTATGCATTGTTTATACACATTTAGTACATTTATTTTGCATGATTATCAATTGTTCCAAACAATTTCAGCTATCAAGAGCAATTTTTGTGCACACTATCTTTCCGAAGGTAAAATAAACTTACATAAGTTAATTTTTGGTACTCGATTTGCGTACCATATGATTCGCAGGTTTGTCACAATCAAAATACCTAGAAAAACGCTTTGATAATTTCACAATTTTACAGGAAAAGCAAAAAACCCAAGTATTTGTGATTTCGTAATGTCTCATATTGTAAGATTTTTATAATATCAAATTATCAACCTACCTGAAAGGTGAAAGTGATATAAAACGTGAGCAAATTTGCCAATCCAGCCATTAACCATGACAGACGTTTCGGCTTGTTCTTAAGGGACTTTCTTCACTACGAGCTAAGTTCATTTTCGCAGTTGATACTGCAACTCGCAGCTGTTATTGCCAAAGGGAAATACCATACAGAAGATTCTGGAAACACCATCCATCAGAAAACAAAAAATATCCTGTCAAGCTGGAAAAGGTGGATGGTCGCGAACGAATGCGACGGACATGCAGCAACAAATCATTTAGGAAGGAAATATATCCTGGCTCCTGACAATGTCACGGAAAAATGCAAAAGGACCTCCATCGTGCAACACGTAGGGTCACGTTAATATTGCATCGGCAAAGAAAGAAATTAGCTGAATAAACGATTAAAAGAGGCTTTAATTATCCAATCCTGCTAAAGTAGCAACTGGGATTAAAGAGAGGTATTCTATACAGAGTTGGCAAGCATTATCGAAGAAATGTAAAACCAGCAGTATGGGTTAAAAGCACAAGCACACCTTCGGTACCAAAAGTCACAACGGCCGTGTAAGATAGAACCAACCAACTGCGGAAACCAGTTCTGACTACCTTAATAAAGGTCCGTGACAGACAAGCCAAAACGTCAGGACTGGTTAATTATTTAATTGACTAATTTGGTTGGACTGTGAATAAATAAATCATTTTGTAAACCTTTTAGTTTTCAATATGACCCCAAACGCGGAACAGAATACATAATCTTTTATTCAGAGGAATGAAAAAATAACTTGAAACGTTAAGTGATCAAGATAAGTAAATAACGGCTAGATATATGGTAAAGCATGCATAAAGTGTAGCACATGGAATTCCTGCTAAGAGAGTTACATAGTTTCGAGTTCGAAAAGTCCTACTTAATTAATATTTTTCCAGACTTATGACCCTTTCATAATTTATTTATTATTATTAAGAATCTGTTGATATCTTAGCACAACCTTGCCGACTTTTAATTCTTAAGAACCCCAAACTGTTCAGGTATATATTTGCACTTCCTGATATCTGATGTTAAATACTTTCTGAAGATTCCAAATTTCCTATGAACCTGTCATTTTCTCTACAAAAGTTTGACCTCAGTGCAAAAATTTTTGGCATACTTTGGGAAGGTTTGAATACAACCATTTGCCCGCAACCTTTCAGCTTGTTTGCAAAGTATATGAAACTTCATTTCCTAAGTAGCTGCTCATACGACATCAATTTACTTACCTTTGTCACCATTATTTCCTTTCGTGTCCTCAATCGAGTCCAATTTTTCGATTCGAAACTCTCCAGAGCGCAGTTCCAACATACTAAATGCACCTTGAGCATAACGAAGTTGAATGTAAACGTAAAAGTTTCAGTTAGTTTTGCAGTACGCGCATAAGAGAAACTCAATTAACAATATTTTGCTCATCTTTCATATCCCTTAAATCAGAATTAGGCGCTGAACCCATTTAAAGCCGTATTTTGCGACGTATTACACAGTTGTAGATGGCTACAATGCCATTTAAACAGTTCTTATCGACGGTACTTCAGTATCTGCAAAGCGCAAATCCATCGAACATTCCTTATTATATTCAAGCATTATCTTATATTGCGAATGACTGCTTAGGAGTTCATACGCCATGCGCCTTCGAAACCAACGTACGCATCGGTTCGCATATTTCAATATGTCAGTAATCACCTGACTTTTCAAAAGCCAGATTTACAAGATATCTGATTTCTCGGTGAATTAATTAAAATCCTGATTCAGTTCTAGTCTGCTTTTTAATTTAGAAACCAAAAAGTTTCTGATGAAACTATTTACGAATAGGAATTTTCCTTACATGCATTGGTTGTGTGGGATTCAAAAGGGGCAAATGTATTTTTTTCTCGAAACGCTTCAAATTCGAGTTCCAATTCAGATCGACAAAGTCAGCAACTGCGAATTGTTGGACCAAACTCTATTCTAGAAATTTGCATATGCCTTAATCAGCGTGAAGTCATCATTGGTGTACAAATAAGAAATGGTTATCATATTTTGATCATTTGACGAAATAAATGACCACTCCTTCAGCTGGACATAATCAAAAGATTAAATTATAAGCAGAAACTTCTCCTGACAACAAAGAAACATGTGCGAATGAACATTTTGTTTCTATTCATCAATAACGCTAAAATGAAACGGAAATCTCGGCAAATAAATTTGTCAGTGAGTACTAGTTTCTATTGAAACTTCGTCAATAAATTATATGCCTCAGAGGAACAAATAGCATGCATAAAAATGTTTAATTAGGAAGATTTGGTTATGTCACGGTTTACATAAACCTTGTTTTATTTAGTCCACTTTAGTATCGAAAATTAATGGTATGCTAAAGAACCCACAAGATCGGGTTCTCGTTTTTAGCCTAATTTATTTAATTCATTAATTCATCCAGCTCCACGAATAATTTCCTTACTTTTCAATGATGTTGTTTGACGAAATTCTTATACATTTTACTTCAGCCAGTCACCCTGTTACCTGAGGTCTACGTCCAATCTGATATCCCGATCTTGCCACATTGCCTCGCGAAATGCCAGCCTTTCGCTCATTCCAAACTGAAACGTGATATATTTAGATTATTAAAGGAGCTTCTTTAATTCACCAGTCGTCGCATCAACATTTCTCATTAAATTCATTAATTTTGCGGAAGGACAACTTACGAAACCATATATATTCATCGAAGCAAAATAGTTACCTAAGATCAAACAAAAAATGATACTGCCCCATTGGAATCGCTCTTCCGTACGCAAAACCGAACTCTTAATTGTTTTGTGAACATCTATGATATATAATCATAATGACCGTCATAAGCGCATTCTTCGCTGTCATCTCTTCAATCCCAGTTGTAACCTTTACTTTTTTGCCGATCTCTCAACTTATTAATTTCAATGTCTTAATCGTTATCTAAGTATCGACTATCGAAGTCACATTCAATGTTTTCTCCGGAAAGGACCTGGCAACATCTTGTACGGGGAACACTTGTCAACAGATGATCAGTTTAAAAACTGGATTGTTTTCAGTATAAACTATGAACACGAAAAGACTTTCTAAAACCATTGTGGAAGAAAATATGGCATCTTTCAAACAAAGGAAGAAGGATTATTGGACAGTGGTGAAATATGCAACTAGCAACCGATACAAAATCGAAAGTAGAAAAATATCTACTAAGCAAAGACCTTTAAAACGCAGTTCCGCTTGATCCAAATTTCTTTTTGATATTACTCGGTTACGTCGTTGTTATGAGGTATTTTACGCAGATTCAGCGGAGGGGCTGAATGTTAAACATTGCACATACCGTGTAACAAGAAGGAACTTTGTTCGCTGATGAATTGCCACGAATTTCTAGCTGCGGAAGAGTTAGTTCGTGTTTCTATGGCAACGTCAACACCAAACGGAAAATTCGAATGTACAACTGATCGACATTCAGTCCAAACTAAGAAGAAGTTGAAATGTCGTGTCATTTTTAGCGTAGATTGACAATGCCAAAAAAATTCTTGTCTCAAAATAATGACAATGTAACAAACATTTTATCAAAAAATATTTTTTTATTTAATTTTTTCTGATCACTCATTTTAGGTACTAAGACGAAGAAATTTGTTTATACTATTGAATTGAGTAGCCTGAAAAATCAAGATTTCGCAGAAAAATG